GCCCCGCTTCGGCGCCAGCCCTCGCCCCGCAGCTGCGGGGGAAGCCTCGGTCCCCCCTCACTCTCGCCCAGGAGCCGCTGGGCCGGTAGCCGTCGTCGCCCAGTACCCGCTCCCGAGCGACATGGCGGTGGGGGCCGAGGTCTTCGCCGACTCGCCACGAGTCCCGGCACGAGAAGCCCAGGTCGTCGTTTATCCTGCCCACGGGAAGCCGGGGACGGCGCTCTCGGCGGTGCCGCTCCCCGCCGTCGCAGCGGCCCAACTCCTGGTCCTCGCTAACTCTTTCCCTGAACTGGTGGCCGCGCAGACCGTGCCGGCCGTCGGTCTTCCACGCGTGCGGGCTGGGGAGGCGGCCGCCGTCCTCGTCCACCGGCGCTCGCGAGTCGCGGAGGCGGCAGCCGCCTGCGCCTGACAGCCTCTCCCCCGGGTCTCTGTCCAGCCTCTCAACGGTGGCCACCAGGAGGGAGAGGTGGAGGCGGAGCCGGAGCCATGGAAACGGGTAAACTTCCGGCGCGGGCGGTCACATCCGGGTCCTCCTGGCTGCGTCACTTCCTGCTTCCTCCCTTTCACCCCTCCCCCCTCCTTTTTTTTTTTCCAGGGCTTCGCCCGTGCGGCTGGCCGTACCCTAGTGTGGAACTTGTTCTCGTGGGGAGTCCTGTCGGTCTCCCCCCCCCCCAAGGTCTGTCCAAGGCCCGTCTCTGGGACAGCCTGACTTCGATCTCGCCCTCTTGGGTGCTTAGCGACTCGGATGCGGGCCCCCAGGACGGCAATTGGCGGCGGTGACCTGGGTCAGCGCGGGCCGGGCGGGGCCTTTTCGTCCTTGGCAAACCTGGGACCATTTTTTTTTTTTTTAATTTTCCCCCAGTGCTGGTTGCAAGAAAATCTCTTACATTATTGTTGTTTCATACATATTTAAAAAAAATCTAAAGAGAAGGTAGCAGCTGCAAGCGCTATCACTGAGTCCTTGGAATTGGGGTGCTTTCCTCCCTTCAACCTGTCGGGACTCAAGATACCAAGAATTTGCTTAGTGCACACAGCAGGTAAGTTCTTAAAGCCAATGTGAAAACCCCAACACGTCAGTGAGAATGACTTGTTTCAAGCCTCCTGGAAATCCAAGGATTTCTCTCGCGGTAACATGTTACTTTCACTTCTTTTCTCTGCGACCTCATGGTTGAAACACTTCGTTCCGTTCACTATTTGTTGCAAGTATGTCGGTCAGGTTTTGTGTCAGCTACCGAGAAGAGAGAAACTGGTCTTGTTTGCGTGGACACACCTGGAAAATTCCCTTTGACCCTTTCTTCAGGTCTAAAGGTACAGTAAATTACTTTTCCTCATAAGCGTGTGCATGCATGTGATGTTAGTAATTGCTATTTACTGAGTTTATATGATCAGCCTGGCACTGTAAGTGCTTTATGTTAGTTTTCTTGTTACTATAGCCTTCTAAAATAGATTTTTTTTTCCATTTGACAGATGGAGAAAAAGGCACAAAACTAAATTGCATGATCCACAGCCAGTAAGTAGCAATGAATTAGGTTTCCTATCTGGGTCCTTGATTTTGTTGCACATCCTGCTCAAAATTTGAATTCCTTTAGCCTTTATTAGATCCTACTACATTATAATTACCTATTTAACAGTTGACTCTCACCCCACCATCCAAGGACTCTGAACGTCTGAAAGGTAGAGATGGTACCTTATTCATCTTGGAATTCCTAATATCTGTTTACTTAGAAGCTATTCTGTAGGTGGCTGGGTGGGTTGTCATGTAGATGAAAAAACTCACTTTTGAAAGGAAATACGGATTTATCATTCCAGGCCCCTTATTTTTAAAAACTGAGACAAGGCCTTTAAGAGGGCTAGTCTGTACAAAATGGTTTGCGAATATTTTCAAATTTAATTTGTATCACTTTTATTTTTACAGATGAAGAAACAGTTCACATTTAACCAGGATGACATAAGTAAGAGTTGAGAAATTGGAACCTACATTGATTGACTCCAAATTAGTACAGTTCTTATAGCCACTTATATGACAAAGGATTTTTTTTAATGCTATACAGTAAATAAACACTGATTAAATAAGCCAAATCCTTAAAGGATACACACAGGCAGAAAGGATAGAAAAAGGAAGAAAATAGCAAGAATCCTTAAAAATAAAACTTAAAAACTAAGAAGAAAAAAATTTTCAAATAGTCAATAAAGTTGGTAATACCTAGTATTTGGGTACTCTTGAGCCTGAGAAAGAAAAGGAGAAGATAATATTGGAAAGCAAGGGGATATATATAGGAGAGTCTTTGAAAATCCCATGTGAATTATTTTGTGTAGCCTTCTCTGAAAATAAGACTTGGACAATTTTCTAGGAGAATACAATGTTTTTTAAACCTGGCTTAAGTTAGATAACCTTATTAAAAAAGTAGTCTATCCATGAAAAAAATCACCAGGAAAATCACAAAAAGGAGGGTGGAATGTTTCCCAACTATGAAGCTAGCATAATGGTCACAACTCTTAAAATATGTATGTAGCAGCAACTGTGTGAGTACATTAGTCCTCACATAGTGTGATCAGATTTGTACTATACGTAGTTGCTTCAGCAGTTGCAGTTGTAATTAGACAAACATGAATTATTCATCAGCAAAATAATATCTAACAAAAATATCTTTATATACAAAATATTTCACAACAATACCAATGCATAATACTGGAAAATAACAGGTACAAAATATATAATCTTATTTAATTTCTAAATATCGTAAAAGAATTTTAAGTTTGATAATGATCTATATCATTCATACTACTCAGTGGTTATAGTGCAAGAAAGTATGAAAAGCAGGCTTGACCTTTTGTCCTTATATTTTTTATATTTTGAAAAAAAATTCAATGTTAGAACATCTTTTTGTACTGTCATATAAAGCACAAGAAGACAGTTTTGAAGAGTAATGAACCAGGACAAATTAAATGGCTGAGAAAAATACAACTGGTGTAGCAAAGAGTCATTGATATATTCAAGACAACAATTTAAGTAAAATTGAAGATAAAACAGATTGCACAGGATTTAAGGTAAGTGACTAACCATAAAAGAAATTGCACATTTGAAAAAAAAAATTCAGAATTCAGCAGAGTGAACATAGCATTCCAGAGAGTAAGAATCCTTTGTGTCTAGGAGACTAGTCTCCCACCTCCACCTGTTTTTCTTAGTGAGATGATAAAGCACAATCTTCACCTACCCACCCAGTCTTGTAAGTCAGCAATTTGAATCTAATTCCAGAAGAGGAGAAAACAGCCAACACTAGGCAGAGCAAAAAGAAAAAAATCAAGTGGGTAAAAAAAAATCAAGTGGGTTGTATAACCTTCTGTACTCTTTTCTGCCAGTGTACTGAAAACTTACTAGGGTATAACATTGGGTTTGTGCTTGCTAGACAGGTTCTCTGCCAGCCATACCCCAGTCCTTACTGCTTTCATTTTGGGGATATAGGCTCAAGTTTTTCCCCAGGCTAACCTAAATCACAATGCTCCTTTTTAAAATTTTTATTCTATTGTTTATTTATTTTATTGGGCGTTGTGGAGCTTGAACCTAGGGCCTAGGCACTGACTGTCCCTGAGATTTGTTGCTCAAAGATAGTGCTCTACCACTTGAGCAATAGCCCCACTTCGAGTTTTAATGGTGGTTAATTGGATAAGAGTCTCATGGCCCTTTCTTGCTGGATCTGGCTTCAAATGACAGTGCTCAGATCTCAGCCTCCTGAGTTGCTAGGATTACAGATGTGAGCCACAATCCTCCAGATTAGCTGGGATGACAAACACATATCACTGACTGGCTTATTCAAGGAGGTAGAAGTGTTGTTTTTGCCCATCCTGGCATTAAACTATGGTGCTCCTGATTTCTGCCTTCCAAGTTAGGATTGTGGGCTTGAGCTACCAGGCCTGGTTGGATTTTTTTGTTTGTTTAATGAGACAGACTCACTTTGTTACTCAGGCTGCCCTCCATCACATCTGCCTAGGTGTTTCTTCCAGGCATTTTTGCTCTCCTTTCAGCATCCACCCTCAAAGTATCCAATTGGTGAAATGAGGAAAGCAAATTAATACAATAGTTTAACTTTATATATATAATATATATTTTATAATATATATATAAACACGTTTTAGCTGGCTGGCCTTAAATTGCTTAGCCTCAAATAAGTGCTCTAAGAGAGGCTTACAAAAAATATTCAGAAACAAAAAGTACTCAGTATTTTTTATTCTTCCTTCCTTTCCAACAGAGTACCTATTACCTCAGATAGCTGACACATTCTCACTCTGTTTAGGATGCTGTAACAGTACTGTAGACTAGCTGACTTACACAACAATCATTTATTTCTCACCTTGCTGGATAGTCACCTAATTTTCCATCCCATTTTCAGTTTACGTTTTTAGACAACTACATCTTTCTAGTTGTAGCCATGGTTAACATGTTCCCTTGTTTTTTCCTGAAAAGGTTTTTTAATTGGTTTTTTTGGTGGTACTGTAGACTGAACTCGGCCTTGTACTTGCTAGATAGCGTCTTCACCATTTAGGCCATACCTCCCACTTGTGAATATTTTTATTAAACCTCTTTTAATAATGAGGTGCTTGTAGTATATTATGGCTAGTCAGCCAAAACGCATAATTAGAATAAATATATATAAAAAACTCATTATTACATGAGAATTAAAATTCCATTATGTTCTTATTTCTCCACAAAGCTTTATATTTACCAGAATTGAGTTTTGTTGGGGTTTTTTTTGTTGGTTGTAGGACTTGAACTGGGCTCAGTGCTGTCACTGAGCTCTTCAGCTCAAGGCTACAACTCTACCACTTGAGCCACAGCACCACTTCAAATTTTCTAATGGTTAATTGGAGATGAGTCTTACTTTCCTGCCCATGATGGCTTTGAATTGTGATCCTCACATCTCAGCCTCCTAAGTTGCTAGGACCACGGCGTGAGCCACCAGCACCTGGCTAAGAGATTATTTTGTCTTTTCCAAAACATCAAAGTAGAAAGTTTTTGGGGTTTTTTTTTGGTTGGGCATGGAGCTTGAACTCGGCCTGGGCACTGTCCCTGAGCTCTTCAGCTCAAGGTCAGCACTCTACCACTTGAGCCATAGCACTTCCAGTTTTCTGGTGGTTAATTGGAGATGTGTCTCATGAACTTTCCTGTCTGGCTGACTTCGAACCAGAATCTTCAGATCTCAGCCTCCTGAGTAGCTAGGATTATAGGTGTGAGCCACTGGTTCCCAGCTAGAAAGTTTCTTATTGGCATATATTGGTAAAAAAAATTTCATTGTGGTATTCTCATATATGCATATGTGCTTTAAACATACTCAACCCCTCTGCTATATTTTCTTTTTAGGATTTTTAATGGGCTTCATTGTTCCATTTCATGTGTATATAATAATACATTTGATAGTAACATCCCCACCCATTATCCCTTCCTCCTCCCATGACAAAGCTAGGAAGTTTTAAGTAGAAAAATTATTCTAAAGTCAAGTCATTAATCTCTACTTTTCAGGTTAGAGATTGGTTAGATATTGTATGCTCAATAATTCAAAAGATATTCCATCTTCTCTTGAATTTTCGTTTAGCTTTCCTTGGTACACTTTGCAGACTAGATTACTAGCTCCATGTTTGAAGTCTACATCTTTTACTTTCTACATTAGCTACTATATCTGGCTGTTCATTAGAATCAAATTTGTTTGTTGTTTTTAGGTGTGTGTGTGTGTGTGTTTGTCATGGGGTTTGAAGTCATGGCCTGTGTGTGTGTGTGTGTGTGTGTGTGTCTGTCATTGTCATGGGGCTTGAAGTCATGGCCTGGGTGTGTGTATGTGTCGTTGTCATGGGGCTTGAAGTCATGGCCTGGGTGTGTGTATGTGTCGTTGTCATGGGGCTTGAAGTCATGGCCTGGGTGTGTGTGTCGTTGTCATGGGGCTTGGTGTGTGTGTGTGTATGTGTGTGTCGTTGTCATGGGGCTTGAAGTCATGGCCTGGATGCTATCCCTCAGTTCCTTTGCTCAAGGCCAAATCTCATGGTCTTACCTGGCCTGGGTTTGAACTGCAGTCCTTCAGATCTCAGCGTCCTGAGGAGTTAGGGTAGGGGGTATAAACTAACAGCTTTTTTGGAGCTTTTTAAATATGAGGTGATGAACTAGAAGACTGTAGAGATGAAGAATCTTAAAAACTCAATGTAATTTTTTGAACAACCAAATTTAGGGCAATTCTACATCACTATCATATTTGGCCTCCCATGTCAAAGAGAAAATAGGAATTAAACTTTCATTTATAAGTGGAAATAAGTGGCCAGTTGAAGCAAAGCACTTCCTTTAACTCTACCTCCATTCCAAAGCTGATCTCATCCATCAGCTTTTCCAGCCCACTTCACACCTTTACTATCTTGGTTGAACTTCCTAAGAATATTTCATTATCTTCCATTTACACCACCTATTGTGCATGGCATTAGCACACACTGCTGTTCATACATTAGCAAGAAATACTGCTCAATCTTACCATTTTTTGTCAGTCATGGGGCTTGAACTCTGGGCCTGAATGCTGTCCCTCCGCTCTTCAGCTCAAAGCTAGCGTTCTACCACTTGAGCTCTGCACCTCTTCTGGTTTTCTGAATGGTTTATTGGAGATAAGAGTCCAGTGGAGCCAGGCACTGGTGGCTCACGCCTGTAATCCTAACTATTCAGGAGGCTTAGATCTGAGGATTGAGGTTCAAAGCCAGCCCAGGCAAGAAAGTCCATGAGTCTCTTATCTCCAATAAACCACTAGGAAACTGGAAGCGGCGCTGTGGCTCAAGTGGTAGAGTGCTCCCCTTGAGCTGAAGAAAAGAGCGCAGGGACAGTGCCCAAGCCCAGAGTTCAAGCCCCACGACCGACCAAAAAAAAGTCTCACCGACTTTCCTGCCCAAGCTGGCATCAAAGCAGGATCCTCAGATCTCAGCCTTTTGAGTAGTTTTGCTGTAATATTGACAGTGTTCAAGTTTAAAGGACTTTTGATTTCTACATTAAATTGCTGTTATAGGGTGTCATTTCTGTTTAAACTATCCAGTGACTGTCCTATCAGCAGTGTAATACATTAACTGTTCAAAGATATCCTATCAATATAGACTACATGGTTTCATCCAAAGCTATCAGCACTCTCAACTCTTCCTTGTTCCACCTAATTTTTATATTGTGTGTTCCAGCTTTTTGTCTGATTTTGTCTGCCTAGGCTGGCTTCAAACCATAATCTCAGCCTTCTGAGTAGCTAGGATTACAGGCATGAGCCACCAGCACCCGGCTCATGCTTGTACTTTTGAACTGGGTGCTTAAATCTTTAAAGTTGGTGTCATATTTTTTTTGGGGGGGGGGTGGTGGTGGTAGGGTCAGTAATGGGGTTTGAACTTGGCCTGGGGCAGTCCTTCAGCTCTCAGCTCAAGGTGACCGCTCTACCGCTTGAGCCACAGTGCTACTTCCGTTCTTCTGATGGTTTATTGGAGGTAAGAATCTCATGGACTTTACTGCCTGGGTTGGCTTTGAACTGTGATCCTCAGATCTCAGCCTCCTGAGTAGCTAGGATTACAGGCGTGAGCCACAGGCGCCTGGCAATCTACCATACAGCCTTAAACATAAGGGCCAAAGAAAACATATAGAAAGTCTGCCGTTGAGTACCACATAGTAAGTGTGCAATAAATGAAGACTCAGTATTTTAAGTGCCTACCTCTTAAATAGCAGATATTAGGTTCCATGCTCGTTTTAGTAACAGGTAAAAGACAAAGTCACTCAAATAAATACAAACGAGAGGTTTCTTCATTATTCTATTTATTACATGTATGAATATTAACAGCTCATGGTATCCATCTAATTCAATCAAAGCCAACAAAAGAAAAAGGTTAACCAAGTTTCAATGAACAGTTTCCCTGTAATTTAAAATAGAAATATGTTCATCTGCATTAAACTGTTCTGACAATTTGAAAATAGCTTCTAAAAAAATCATCTTCAGTACTCATGTTAATCGCTTGGTATCAGTGTCCAATCTCAAGAATGAAAGCTGCTTCATTAGACGCTTTCCAAAACGGACATCTGAACGGTGTCTACAGAGAACCATATGGAGATACATATGTGTGTATATCCTATTTTATAAATCTTTCAAATCTGGCTTTTCTATTTGAGAAAAGCCCTGAAATGCTCTCACAGTCCCCTTTTGAAGGATGAAACTTCCACCTTTAATTATGGGACGCTATCAGGAAAAAAAAATCTTAGTTCCATTTTTGCCCAATAAAAAGCACAGAAACACTATATTTGATGGTGTGCATAAATATTACACTCCATGGATAGCAAAAATATTTTTATTTATAATTTACAGTTTCACAAGTGAAAATCGTACATTTTTACACATACAATTTCATTTTGTTAAATTTGCACACATCTACAGAACTTTCACACAACAAGCACCTGAATCTGTGCAGGCAGTAGGAAATGCAAATACTAAAATGTATTTATTAACCAAATGATAGCTGAAGGCCCTGCCTCAGCTAGGCAATTTATATAGATATATGTCTATATATACATTAAAAAATTCTTCACCTAGATCCAACAGCAGCTTTTTTTCTTTTTCTTTTTTTTTTTAAGAAAAACATACCTTTCTCATTTTATTTAAACTGACTCAACTGTATCATTTTCTGTCTTAATTTCAGTGGCTGATGTTACACTTTCCTCGGTACAAGCTGGTGGGGTATCAATTCGTTCTTCCTTAACTTTGGGACTTTCACAGGGTTCCTGCAATTCGTTTTTGACAATGTTCAACATAATGTTCAAAGGGTTTTCAACTGGTGTCTTGCTGGGAGATGGTGTACAATCAAATGAAGATGTCTACAAAATGAAAAGCCCTATAAGTTCTGATGGAAATTCAAGATTATTTTTTTAAGATTATTTTTAAACCATACAGCTTTTTAAGACCTTTGTATGGTCAAAGGAAAACACATACAAAATAAAATAACAATGTGCTTTCCCACACTGATATGCCACAAAGGCAGCAAGCTAGTAAAATATACACTGAACATTCAAAACTCAGTTTAAGTCCCAGTATCTAAAAGAAACTGCATTAACAGCAGAGCTGTTAACAAACACTCAACGGTGGCTTATACATGTAATACCAGATAAGACATGCTAGCCCAAACAAAATTAGGGGAAAACCAGATTTTTTTTGGGGGGGGGGATCCGGTTGTGGGACTTGAACTCTGGGCCTGGGCACTGCCCCTCAGCTCTTCAGCTCAAGGCTAGCACTCTACCACTTGAGCCACAGTGCCACTTTCGGCTTTTATCTTTTTGCTTATGTGGTGCTGAGGAATCGAACCCACAGCCTCATGCATGCAAGGCAAGCGCTCTACCAATGAGCCACCTTCCCAGCCCTATATTTTTTTTAACCCAAGATTTGATGTGAAAGATATCCCACATCAAAAAGAGTTTGTATTCATGGCTCAAGTAATAGAACTGTCAAAAGATACACAGCCAAAAATGTACTGGACAGGCTTCTGTATTTAACTCCTATATAAAGAATAACAGGATATTCTAAGGTTTTAATGACTATCCCAATTTCAAATATTCAAAGAATATTCTGAAGAATATCTGAATGATATTTGAAACTAGCGTGACCTAAATATATCTCCCAAACTCCTATTTCAAAAGCATTCTTTGTCAATCAATAGATTCCTCTATTCAGTTTAAAAATCAGGAGCTGCAAATACAAAAATGTGATTATTTTTCTCCCGCTTGCTGGTTGTGGGACTTGAACTTGGAACCTAGGCACCTTCCCTGACCTTTTCTGTTAAAGGCTACTCGTCTATCACTTGAGCCACACAGCTACACTTGCTTTTACTTTTTGGTAGTTAACTGGAGATAAGAGCATCACAGATTTTCCTGCCCAGGCTGGCTTTGAACCACAGTACTTAGATCTCAGCCTCCTGAGTAGCTTTGGATTACAGGTGTCAGCCACCAATGCCCAACAAAAACTGCCAGTTTTAAGACCAGCCTTAAATGTGATCACTAAAGAAAAATTCAAAATTAGATGGCTAAATGGAGCATGTAAAAAGAAAAGATTTTTAAAAATGCCACATCCCTGGAAGCCTATACACCCATCAATATCCTTCTCATCTTTAGTTTACCCTATTTCTTTGGGCCCAACGGTCTATTACAAATAAATGTCAAGATTCGTGTGAATAGAAAGCAAGGAATGACTTTAATTCAAAATTTACTTGTGTATTATGAAAGGTGATATATTAATATATGCCTAATGCCAATATTCAGTAACAGCTTAGTGTGTCAAAATACAAAAATATATTTAAATATATTGAAACAATATTGCTCCAATACAAAAAATAACTGACAAGTAAGATTTATTAAGGTAAATGAGAACAAACACAGTAACCAAAAAGAACTTACATTTTGATAATCTTCATAACATGATGGATGATAAATCTGAAGAAAAAAGAAAAAGTTGTTATTCATATGCACATTCATTAATAGGCTACCCTGAAATGTTTTCTTCACAATCAAACCAAGAAAATGGCCATCTTTGGGAAAACTGGTCACAAAAATGGATGCAACTAAAACTGTCCTTATAATAAGTTTGAAACACTGATTTCTCTAAAGTTCCTTTGTGATTTTCAGTAGAGCTGTCCCTGGGCCCCTTTGTGCTCAAGGCTAGTGCTCTATCACTTGAGCACACTTCCAACTTTTTCTAAGTAGTTTATTGGAGGTAAAGAGTCTCAGGGACTTGTTTGCCCACACTGGCTTTAAACCATGATCCTCAGATATCAGCCTACTGAGTAGCTAGGATTATAGGCATGAGCCACCAGCACCCAACTCATAAAAGATTTCTTTACTGATGAAATATAAGAATAATATGATTAGGCAAAAAAAGAACTAGATTAAGAACACTTACTTCTGAATCTAGCATTAACCTACTTTGCAGCCTGCTTTTACAAGTATAAAACCAGATGACTACTAACATCTCTCTAAACTCTACAGTCCAATATTTTTTTAGTCAATAAATGATGAGCTTTGACTCAAAATGGTCAGCTAACCCCCAACCAAAATATGTCTCTTATAAAAATCTGAAAATTACCTTTCCATCTACTCTAATAGCATTTTTTAAGTGCCACTCTTCCTCCTCTTCATCCCAGTACTGTTCAAATTGTTCTTGACAGATTTCACAACTCTAAAATAGAAAACAATCATACGTAAAATGAAACTGACAGAATGCTTAATCACATTAAAATAAAAATATAAAAACATGTTAGGCTCAAAATTTAAGAACCCTGAAAACTTAAACTGTGTCCAATATATGACAGATCATTTTAAGGATTCCACCAACCTTCCAGGCAATAGTAATTTAACATCTCACTACTGCTGGACACTGATACTATCTAAACACAGTGATTATGAAACAAAGCAAGATCATATATGTAAAACTGAAGAATAGAGATTACCAAAAAGAATCTTTAAGATCATTTAGGGGATATAAAGTATATACTTATATCTACAGAGGATGAAAACCAGTTCTCTTACCTCAACTGCTCCAGCTGGCCCAGCAGGTACACTTTGGAACTCCTTTTCTTTAGCAGCCTCCTGAGTTTTAAGCACAACTTCTTCATGCACCTTTTCAAAAAACTGACTCTTTGCACGTTCTTCCAGGTCAGCTATTTCCTCAAATTCTATCCAGTCCTTAAAAGTAATTGATTTTGAGAATAGTTTTGTTTCTGTACTTTTACTGCTTCAACATAATGCCAACTTGAAAAGGATACATATTGTTCTACAATATACTTGTAGATTGTTTAATATTATACTTTCTCTGAGCCCTATAACCCATAGAAAGAAGTTGTAGGAATTTATTGATAAACAGTTTTTAAAATCTTTTTTTTTTTTTATGTTGGTCATAGGACTTGAACTCAGCCTGGGCACTGTCCCTCAGCCTTCAGCTCAAGGCAAGTACTCTACCACTTGAGCCACAGCACCACGGGTTTTCTGGTGGTCTGTTGGAGATAAGTCTCACAGACTTTCCTGTCCAAGCTGGCTTTAAAGTGTAATCCTCAGATCTCACCCTCCCTCAGTATCTAGGATTACAGGTGTGAGCCACCAGCGCCCAACTAGTTTTAAAATCTTAACTGCTGGGCTTACAAGTATGTACCTTCTTATTAGCAAGCAGAAAGCCATGAAGTTCAAACCTCAGTACTACTAATAAAGCAAAAACATCTCAACATTAATTTTCCACTAACCAACTTTAAGATAAATTTCAAACTTTTTACCAGTATAAAAAAAAAGTCATTCACCTTACAGTTTTTAAGTTAGGTCAAGTTTGTATAGTATTCTAATTTCAACAAAAATACTTCTCAAAATGGTTTTCAAACTGTTTAGGTATCAAATTTTGTTCACAAAACTCATTTGCTCTCAGCAATTATTGAGCAATATAAATGAAATCCAGAAGTTTATTCAGATGCACATGGATTACTTACTGTTAAACTGTAGTACCAACGTCTGTGAGTGACTTTTCTGCTAACATCTTTCTCAGTTCTATTTTGCCGATAATGCCAGTCCAAGTGATCTGCATATACATCTGTCTGTGAAGTTGTAAACCTCATTCCACAAGAGTAACACTGAATACCAGTGTACAGTCGATTTATAACACTGTCATAACGTCTATTTTGAAAAAAATAAATTTTAGTTTGGATAAAATTAATGACTTAAAAAAAAAAACCTTACCATTTTTCCATCTTTTCACAAGAGTAAAAGAAAAGCTGATTGAAACAATACCCAAACATGAATATTGACACATATGTATTATATGTCATTGACCTTTTACTTAGTGGTAGGCATATATGAGGTGTATATCTCCTTTTGGCTAAAACTGGAATGATCTTATGCCAGCTAACAAGACAACAGCAAAAGACAAGCTTAGAATTAATGTCAAGATAGATGTGGCAGAACAGATTTCACCTCTCTAAATCTTTGAAGTTCTAATTTTTAAGCTGTTAAACTCTGGTTTAAAGAACAATGAAAAGGGGACCTAGAAAGCATACACTAAGTACAATTCCCAATAGTGCCCCCTGGAAAAAAGGGATTAACAAAATGATAACTTTAAAAAAGTAAATCAATCAATCTTAGCTACTCAGGAGGCTGAGTCTTAAGGATCACAGTTCTAAGCCAGCCCAGGCAGGAAAGCCTGTGAGACTTGTGTCTTCAAGTAACTACTAAAAAACCAGGAAATAGAACTGTAATTCAAGTGGTAGAACACTAGCCTTGAGTAAAAAGGCTCAGGAGCTGCTCCCAAGCCCTGAGGCCAATCGCTAGGACTGGCACCATAAAAAAAAAATTGGGAAACTGGTTGGCAATAACTCATTTTTAAAATTCTGGGTTCCCTACTTAAGAAATAGGCATGATTTAGTGGGACTGTGGCTCAAGTGGTAGAGCGCTCGCCTTGAGCTGAAGAGCTGAGGGATAGCCCCACGACCAACAACAACAAAAAAAAAAATAGGTATGATTAATTGGGCAGTTATTAAAATAATGACAAAGGCAATGCATGAGCACAATGTGTGTTCCACAAACAAAACAGTCATAATACTGATTTCATGAAAAATATAAGAGCTAGCTAGCTGGTTAGGCAAAGTGGTGCACACCTATAGTCCTAGATGTGTACCACTGAGAGGTTCACTTGGGAGGCCGAGGTAGTAGGATCACTTAAATGCCAGCCTGTACATAGCAGAAAGCCAAGGAGAGAATGAAGAAAGGGATGACACTGTCAGAAAAGAAATGCATTCAATATCTGACTTATGAAATGGTAACCACTCTGTGTAACCGGTGGTTCATGCCTATAATCTTAGCTACTCAGGAGGCTGAGATCTGAGGATCACAGTTTGAAGCCAGCCCAGGTAGAAAAGTCTGTGAGACTCTTTTTTTTTTTTTTTTTGGGTCCGGTTGTGGG